GGTTGATTTAGTTTTACATACATTTGTACTGTTTCTCAAAAGAACGCATCTTATAATTAGGGTTTGTTGGCAGAAAAAAGGTTGCAGGGGATTTGAATATATCCATTTGGGTTTATAACATTAACCAGTATTTATCAACTTTTGCAGAGCATTAGAAGCACCTGCAAGTTCCTATTAAAAAATAGTAATGCTTGTTAAGAACATGTATTCTTGGCTGGGCACGGTGGCTCACACCTGTAATCCCAGCACTTCGGGAGGCCAACGTGGGTGGATCACTAGGTCAGGAGTTTGAGAACAGCCTCACCAACATGATGAAACCCTGTCTCTACTAAAAATACAAAAATTAGCCAGGTGTGGTGGCACACACCTGTAATCCCAGCTACTTAGGAGGCTGAGGCAGGAGAATTGCTTGAACTTGGGAGGCAGAGGTTGCAGTGAGCCGAGATTGTGCCACTGCACTCCAGCCTGGGCGACAGAGTGAGACTCCGTCTCAAAAACAAACAAACAAACAAACAAACAAAAAAACATATTCTTGGGCCCTGCCTCAGACATATGGAAACGCAACAGGACTGTGGAGGGGGGAATTAGCAGGAATCTATGTTTTTCCTTCAACCTTTTATTTTGAAAATATTCAAACTTACAGAAAAATTGAAAGAATACAGCAACCACCCCATACCTTCTACAAAGATTCCACAATTAACATTTTACCACATTGAGGTTTTTTTTTTTCCCTCTCTCTCTCTATCCCCTCCTTCTTCGCATCTACAGAATTTCTTACTGAGACCTTTGAAGGTATATGTCAGACATCATGACACCGCATTCATGTTGTGGGTTACACTGTGTCCCAATGAAAGAAACGCTGACGTCCTAACCTCTGATACCTTGAATGTGACCTTAGTGGTAAATAGGGTCTTTGCAGAGGTACTCGAAATGAAGTCATACTGGATTAGAGTGGGCCCTACATCCAATAACTGCCGTCCTTATAAGGGAGAGAGAGATTTGAAGACACGGAGAGACACACAGGGAAGAAGGCCACCTGATGTTGTCACCAACCAAGGGACGCCAAGGATTGCCAGCAACTACCAGAGGCTGGAAGAGGCAAGGAAGACTCGTCCCTAGAGCCTTCAGACAGAGCATGGCCCCACCAACACCTTGATTTTGGACTTGAACTGTGAGAGAAGAAATTTCTGTGTTGCAAACTACCCGGCTTGTGGCAATTTATTACCGCAGCCCTAGGAAACTAATACAACTCCTGAATACAGGTGTTACCTAAATGTGGACATTTAGTGGGACTCGGGGTATTCTCCCCATAACCAATATCATTAGCACGCCTAAGAAAATTAACAATAATTTTATGATATCCAATCCATAATCAGATATATCCAATTGTTCTCAAAATATCTTTTATAGATATTTTTCCTTTTTTTTGATCCAGGATCCAATCAAAGTATCTTACATGCTTTTGATTATTATGTCTCTCTAATTTCTTTTATTCTAAAACAATTCATCATAAAAAATGACTTCTCGATGTATCCAGGTTTTAAAGAAAAAAATTATTCTCAAGCAGTAAGTAGGAAAGACTTAATTCAAGACTATTGCAATAGGAGTGCTGCGATAGGGGAGTGCGGTCTGCCTCAGCTCCGAGTATAAGGACAAGTGGGGGTTCACAGCCAAAGAGCAGGATGAGGGATCAGTGGACGGGAAATTACTAACAGGAATTTCCTGGTCTTGAACTCCCAACCTCAGGTGATCTGCCCGCCTCGGCCTCCCAAAGTGCTAGGATTACAGGTGTGAGCTACCACGCCTGCCTTTTTTTTTTTTTTGAGACAGAGTCTCGCTCTGTCCTTTCCCATTAATTCTAAATTGCCAATAATCATAGTTTAGAATGAGCTTGATCGACCCATGATGGGAGACATCAAGCGTAGGTGATTCTTGCTAAAGACAGGCTAAGGGCTTAGATATCAAGGAAGCGGGGTGAGGTGCTTGATCAGATAGCTAGGGTGGAGGGATGATTTGGCAGGATTCTTTGTAAGACTGGCTGGGCAGACCAAAGACAAGATGGGGGCCAAGGTCCAGGCCTAGTTGAAAAGAGGGCTCAGAGGAGTCTGACTAAACTTTGGTTAGGGAGACGGCCTTTGTCACAGGTTGGTTGTCTCATAGTATGCTCCACACTGTGCATTTGTCTTTTCTTTTCTTTTTTTTTTTTTTTTTGAGATGGAGTTTTGCTGTTGTTGCCAGACTGGAGTGCAATAGCGTGATATCAGCTCACCGCAACGTCCGCCTCCTGGGTTCAAGTAATTCTCCTGCCTCAGCCTCCGGAGTAGCTGGGATTACAGGCATGCACCACCACGCCCAGCTAATTTTGTATTTTTAGTAGAGACGGAGTTTCTCCGTGTTGGTCAGGCTGGTCTCAAATTCCTGACATCAGGTGATCCGCCTGCCTCAGCCTCCCAAAGTGCTGGGATTACAGGCGTCAGCCACCACACCCGGCCTTACATTTGTCTTTTCATCCTTTTGGTGGGATTTAACTTGTTCCTCTATCACCATTAAGTCATGAGGCTTGATTAGATTTATGTTTATCACATATGGCAGGAATAATTCATAGGTGGTAGTATTAAGTATTTCAGATTACATCACATCACAAAGTGCATGAGTGCATAACAGCTGCACTATTAGCGATGCTTAGTTGTTGTTTTTATTTTTATTTTTGGAGACGGGGTCTTTCTCTATTGCCTAGGCTGGTGTGCAGTGGCATGATCATAGCTCACTCACTGCAGTCTTGAACTCCTGGGCTCAAGCAATCCTCCCACCTCGACCTCTGTAGTAGCTGGGACTGCAGATAAGTGCCACCCATGCCTGGCTAATTTTTTTATTTTTTGGTAGAGACAGAGTCTCACTATGTCATCAAGGCTGGTCTCGAACTCCAGGCCTTAAGCAATCTTCCTGCCTCAGTCTCCAACGTGGTGGGATCACAGGCATGAGCCACTGTGCCTGGCTGAGTTTGATCACTTTGGTAAGGTGAGGACCACCAGCTCTCTCCATTGAAAAAGGCAATTTTCCCTTTGGTAATTTGCAAGTCATCTGCAGGTAATACTTTAGCCCAATGTGAGTATCTTGCTCTGCAATAACCTTTTGTCCAGTGGTTTCATCAAAAATCTTTATTTAATTGGGGGTTTCCAAATAGTGATTTCCAATTCCATCATTCCTTTCAGTTTTATTAGCTGGTATTTCCCTTCCTTTATTCCTCGTTTTGAATATCACTAGAGAGTTTAAAAAATTGTGTTATCAGACCAGGCACGGTGGCTCACGCCTGTAATCCCAGCACTTTGGGAGGCCAAGGTGGTCAGGAGTTTGAAACCAGCCTAGCCAATATGGTGAAACCCCGTCTCTACTAAAAATACAAAAATTAGCCGGGCATGGTGGTGCGTGCCTGCAGTCCCAGCTACCCAGGAGGTTGAGGCAGAACAATCTCTTGAGTCTGGGAAGCGGAGGTTGCAGTGAGTCGAGGTCGTGCCACTGCACTCCAGCCTGGTTGATGGAGCTAGACTCCATCTCAGAAAAAAAAAAAAAAAAAATTGTGTTACCAACTATATTGAGTATTTATTTTGATGTTCAGATTGATCTAAATTTGGCCAGTAAAATTTCCTTCAAGTTGGTTGCCGTCTTGGAACACTTCTTTGTCTTCTGGCACAATTTAATGGCCCAGGCTCACTTTCCCTGCCCCAGACTGGGGACCCACCATTCCTCCAAGGGGCAGAAAACATGGTCATCCTCTCAATTACCTAGAGCAATGGTATCACATTCCACCAGCCTGGCCAACATGATGAAATCCCATTGCTACTAAAAAAAATACAAAAATTAGCCGGGCATGGTAGCGGTGCCTGTAGTTTCAGCTAATTGGGAGGCTGAGGCATGAGAATCGTTTGAAGCCTGGAGGTGGAGGTTGCAGTGAGCTGAGATTGTGCCATTGCACTCCAGCCTGGGTGAAGAGCAAGACTCTGTCTCAAAAAAAAAAAAAAAAAAGAAAAAAAAAAAAGACAGAAAAAAGAAAAGAAAAAAGAAAACAGAATAATGGTATCACATTCCTTACCTATTTAAAATTAGCTTAATAGTAGCTAATGTTGATCAAGTGCTGGGCACTGGGCCACATGTTTCCATGTATCCTCATTTAATTCACATGTTAATTCTTTACAGTAGATTATGTTACTTATCCCTATTTGACAGATGAGGAAATCAGGGTGTGGAAAAGTTAAGTAAACTGCCCAGGTCCTCTCAGCTGGCCAGAGGAGGAGCTAGCAATTGGAACTCTAATCATTCTGATGCCAAAGCCCATGCTTGGAACCACCATAATCTACTGACAATTTGGCTACAAAAGAAGAAAACTCCTTCAGCAGCACTGAACTTGATAATATCTACATTTTAAAAAACAACCATGCTTTAAGGTAATAGGTATTAAGCAAAATTTAGGGAAAGCAATCCTTGAGTACCATCTGGAAACTTTCTCATTAATTCCCTTTTTTTTTTTTTTTTTTTTTTTTTTTTTTTGAGCTGGAATCTTGCTCTGTTGCCCAGGCTGGAGTGCAGTGGTGCGATCTTGGCTCAGGTCCAAGCGATTCTCCTGCCTCAGTCTCCTGAGTAGCACATGCCACCATGCCCAGCTATTTGTAGTTTTAGTAGAGATGGGGTTTCGCCATGTTAGCCAGGTCTTGAACTCCTGATCTCAGGTGGTCTCCCCGCCTCGGCCTTCCAAAGTGCTAGGATTACAGGTGTGAGCCACCGTGCCTGCCTTTTTTTGTTGTTGTTTTTTTTGGAGACAGAGTCTCGCTCTGTCCTTTCTCATTGATTCTAAATTGCCAATAATCATAGTTTAGAATAATCTTGATCGACCCAGAATATGAGGAGAAAGCTTTCTTAAAACTCAACCAGAAGCCTTATCATGAAGTGAATTGGAGCAGGGACTTTGGACCAAGGGAATGTTGAAAGCCCTTCCTGCTTCTCACCTGCAAGTCTTTTCTGTGCTTCTGAGATGGTCCATTCAGAGCTTAAGTTGTCCAGGGTAATGAAAGTGTTAGTGAGGGAGAAGAGAAAGCTGCTATGATGATGTAACTATGCCAGGTTGTCTTTGTCACAGGGTGCTGGGGAAGGGGATAGGGAGGGGGACACCTGCCAAGTTGGGGGCTGTGACTGCTCGGACAAAGAAGCGTCTTTTTCTGATCTGCACAGAGGTGCAGACAAACACTGCAGGCTAGCAGAGGCCCGAGCGGAGTCAAGTTCTTTCAGTTTAAAGTTGACTGTTCTAGGTTCAAGGGTGAATGACTTTCTATTATCTCTTAATAAGAGAAAACTTCCTCCTCCCAACAAGAATTTCCAGTTGTGGTTATTAGCCTAGGTGTAACCGAAATTGAAAAGTAATTAGATTTCTCTTAGCAGCTAAGGTTGCCTCCAGCAACCTGCCCGTGTCCTGCTCTCACTCTCAGGAGGAGAGTCTTTCGCCTTGTATTCCTTTTTTCCCTCCTCCACATGGACTTTAGGGTCCAGTTTTAAGTCCCGGACCTGTTTAGTAATTAGCTTTAATCACAGGGCACGAAGTCTCTGGCCTCTCCATGCTTCCTCCTTCCCTTCCTGGGTCTTAGCCAGGACAGGGAGCAGTACATACCTGAGTACACAGAGCAGTGGTGAGAGGTGTCCCAGGGAGCCATCTCAGGGAACCCATTAAGATAAAGGGGAAGAATAAACAGAAGCAGATGTTCCTTCAGCCCCAGTCCCCAGCCCACTGAAAAACAGGAAGCTGGGATGGCAGCTGATAAGGGCTGTCTCCAGGGCTTGGCCGGGACTCCTTGGAGCCAGGGGCTGGGTTGGGTTTCTCAGTCCTCATCTCTCCAGGACAGTCTCTTTTTTCTTTTCCTTCATTACTAGGAGAAAACACAAACACAGTCCCCCACTACCACAAATTATGCAGTTGAGGTCCCACATTTGGGGAAATTGCAAGGGTCAGCCCATCCAGAGTGCAATGGATGAGCCTTGCCCTGGGCAGATCATTTTTGTGATCATGGTATCTCCCCCACCAGGTAAGTATCTCCAGGCCAATCTTTTTTCCCTTCCTTGGGGACAGGTCAGAGGCACTTTCCCTCCATATGAATACAAATCAAATTGTATTCACATTCTATCATTAATGCCTGCGGCCACTTGAAATTCAAAAGATGGGGCGGTGTCTCAATTCAAAAGGTGGGGCTGGTATCTCAGCCTGTAATCCCAGCACTTTGGGAGGCCAAGGTAGGTGGATCACTTGAGGTCAGGAGTTCGAGATGAGCGTGGCCAACATGAAGAAACCCCATCTCTACCAAAAATATAAAATATTAACCCAGTGTGATGGCAGGCCCCTGTAATCCCAGCTACTTGAGAGGCTGAGGCAGGAGAATCGCTTGAACCCAGGAGGTGGAGATTGCAGTGAGTCGAGATCACACCACTGCAATCCAGCCCAGCCTGCATGACAGAGTGAGACCCTCTCAAAAAAAAAAAAAAAAAAAGAAATTCAAAAGATGTGAACTTCCAAGGTGGAGACTGCACACATGCACACACATATGTACACGCACACACACATGCATGCACACTATACATGTCCATACATGTGCACCCACAGGCACACACATACCATACACTATGCACACGTGTCACACACATGCATGTACACACGTACCATGTACACGCATACACATATACCAAACACACACACGCATGCACATACAAGCCCTCCTCTAGGCTGAGATCTAAAAGCCCTGTGGTTGGCTGGGTGCAGTGGCTCATGCCTGTAATCCCAGCACTTTGGGAGGCCAAGGTGGGAGGATCACCTGAGGTCGGGAGTTCGAGACCAGACAGACCAACACGGTGAAACCCCGTCTCTACTAAAAATACAAAATTAGCTGGGCAGGGTGGCCTGTAATTCCAGCTACTTGGGAGGCTGAGGCAGGAGCATTGCTTGAACCCGGGAGGTGGAGGCTGCAGTGAGCCGAGATCGCACCATTGCACTCCAGCCTGGGCAACAAGAGGGAAACTCTGTCTCAAAATAAATAAATAAATTAATAAATAAAATAAAAATAAAAGCCCTGCGGTGACTCCATTCCTCAGTAGTGATGGTTCCCCAAAATGCCACAGTTCACCCTCCATAAAAGGGGTTGTCCAAGCTTGGAGCTCTCTGGGTCTGGCATTTCCCCTCAGTAAAGTAAGGAGTGTGGACAAGGAAACTTCTAGGACCTCTTCCTGTGCTCCAGCATCCTCTGGCCCCAAGGGCTGTTTTCAGCTCCCCACCCGCATATCCTGAAGGATCAAAGGAATCGAAACTTAAGGAATTGGACTTTAAGGCTGTGGTGGCTGGGCTGGAGTGGGAGGTACTTTGCCACGCACCTCTGGCATATCATCCTACAGCAGTGTTTCTCTTTCAAAAGAAAAAATTATTGCAGTGGCTCAGGCCTGTAATCTCAGCATTTTAGGAGGCCGAGGCAGGTGGATCACCTGAAGTCAGGTGTTCAAGACCAGCCTGGCCAACGTGGTGAAACCCCATCTCTACTAAAAATACAAAAATCAGCTGGGCGTGGTGGCGGGTGCCTGTAATCCCAGCTACTTGGGAGGCTGAGGCAGAAAAATTCCTTGAACCCGGGAGGCAGGGGAGGCAGAGGTTGCAGTGAGCCGAAGATCATGCCATTGTACTCCAGCCCGGGCAACACAGCGAGACTCTGTCTCAAAAAAAAAAAAAAAAAAAAAAAAATTATTATGGACCCCAAGCTGATGAAATCTTTAATATTACCTAAATATGTGTATATTAAAACCTTGGTATGAACACCTTGTGTTGTTAGGTAGTCTATCATCAGAAAAGTCAAGCAGAAAGGGAGAAGCCGGGGTGTCACTCTGGGCCCCTAACTTCAGGAGTGTTTCCATCAAGGGCTGCATATCCCCCCTTGACAGACCCACCATGGCCCTGGCTTTGATGGGTGTTCCCTGGGTGCAGGGAAGCCCGACCCCTTCTTCTGTCCCCATTCATAGGATCCTGGACTGGCCAGGGGCCTAGAGAGATCACTAAGCACCGCTGAAAGGCTGAAGACCAACTTCTAGACACAGGCACCCCACCCCTCCTTCTGTCCCTCCAGCCTAGGGGTGGCAGTGACTTCCTGCTGTTGTGAACCTCTGGGCTGCCTCACACTCTACTTTTTGGATCTTTGGTTTATTTGTCCTGGGTCCTAGGAAGGAAGTGAGGCAGCACTTCCTAAGGACGGGGAGTGCAGGTGGCATAGGCAAGATGCCCGCAGAGGCTCATCTGGGCATGTGCTCAGCACAGCAGCTGTAAGAGGAAAGCAGGGCTGGGCCAAGGGAGAAGGTGAAATGGGATGCACTTGCCACCAGAGCCTTGCCCTCCATCCCATGACGAGTTACAAAGCCCTTCAGAGTTGTCCTGAGTGGAGGCAGGGGGCTGGGTGTTTGCACCCCTCTCCCCATATCTCACCCCTACATGGCTGAGTTGAGTTCAGGCTGCCCCGCAAGGAAGGAGCCACACCTGGGCCAGGCAGCCCCCTTTGGGCAGGGCTATTCCTGGGAAGAGACTGGCGGTGAACTGTCAGCAGTCGTATCCCAAAGAGGAACCTGGGCAGAGGCTGCAAAGTTGGCCACAGCACCAAAGCCCAGCTCTGCTTAGTAGCTGCGTGACCTTCACCCAATTCCTCATCCTCGTTTAGCACGCAGTTCAGTTTCCCCATCTGTAAATAGGGAGGCTGTGAAGATTAAATGAGACCATGTTCCCGTAAGGGACAAGAAGCCCGCCCCTCGGCTGGCTTCCCTCTAGGAAGCTGCTGCCAATCACTTTGGCCAGGATCTGGGACTCTGCTTCAGCCACCTGTATAAGGTGGCAGGGACCCTGTGTGATAAGGTCTGTGCCAAGGTGTGGCCTTCCCTCCTATATCCTGCTCTCAGGGGGTTGGTAGACCTTGCTCTTCTCACTGGCTCCTCCAGCTCAGGGGACAGAACAAGGACGCCGAATCAAGGTCCTCTTGGAGCCTGTCCTTCTGGCCTCCCTTATCCTCCCCACATGAGTGCTGGCAGGGTGGGCCCAAGCATGGCCAGGGAAGGGAGAACCTCTGGATCCTGGAGTTCTGAGCCTCAGCTGTGCCATGCAGCCCAGAGCCCTGCCCGGAGTGGAGTGTCAGGCTCTGTGCCGTTTGCCTTTATCTTCTGTGTGTGCCAATCCCCAGGAACCCCACAGGAAGGAAGCGGTGGAAGAGCCAGGGCAGAATTCTGGCATTCCTGGGTCCCCTAAATCCCACCCGACTCTCAACAGTAGAAAAGATGGGAAGATATAAATAGAAAGCAGTGGGGGTGTGGGGAAGGTCAGCAGCACCCCAAACTGCTTCAGGGCCCCCCAGGACGCAAGGAAACTTGATGTGAGTTGGAAAAGATCCCTCCTCCGGGTGGACGCACACCCACGATGTGCAGCTTAGCTCACAGACGGCGCCTTTGTGCAAACTAGGAAAAGCCCCCAGCCCTCCCTGTGTGGTTGAGGTGCAGCGCCCAACCTGAACGAAGTCTCCCCGGGATGTCACAGGCCCCGGGCACTGCCAGTTTTCTCAGCACACACGAAATCGAAGGTGTAGCCTTGGGTTCTGCACATTTTGTGTGGCTTATGTGCCAACTGGGACAATCCGGTTATATGCCACAGAGCCCATCTTCGCAGACATCAAACATCTCTCTGTGCCTTAGAGCCTTTGCTGTTGCTCTCTGCGATGACATTCATAGAATCCTGGACTAGCCAGAGGCCTAGACAGATCACTAAGCACCGCTGAAAGGCAGGAGACCAACTTCTAGACACAGGCACCCCAGCCCAGCAGCCTTTTCACCATGCGTGTCCAGCCAGGCTCCCTGCTGCTCTGAGCCCACCCCTGGTAACTCATGTTTTCCATGGACATGGACAACAGCACCCTGCCCATAGGATGTGTCACTGTAGGGTGGTGTCAGTACGGCAACGATCAGAGCTGGGCGACCTCAGTCTGCATTTAGCTAGATTTGTTGTATCCACCCAGTGTTGATCCTTATGACTTTTCTTAAAGAAGTGGATATGGCCACAATGGGCCTGCACTCCTTCCTGGTACCACATGGCTGGAGGGGAGTTGTGTCCTCTCTGGTAGCGCCATAGGAGTGGCCATAACCCCGGTCTAATGGAGAAACAGACCATTATGTACTCCAGAGGCTTCCATCCTTCATTTGAATCCTGTATCATTTACTACCTGTTAGACTTTGAAAGAGCTACTTCTCTGTGCCTCAGTTTCCCCATCTATGAAACAGGATGATGAAATAATAGCACCTACCTTATGGGATTGCTATAAACATTAAATAAGTGCATATCACAGCATGTAGTACATAATCACTAAATGTCAGCTCTCATAATGACAACCGGCGAGGTCCCCATGCAGAGTGTAGACATTTAGGTAAAACATCCACAAACATCATTTCCTTGTTTGGATGACCCTCGAATTCCCAGCAATAGATGGTAGCTGGCCTAAGGAAAACTGAGTTGGGAAAGTCAACCATTCCTGTACAAGGCCCCCACCCTGTCCCCCATTAACAAGGCAAACTTCCAGATTGCCAGGGGTTGTGGGTGCTGCCTTGGCTCCTCATCTTGCCCAGCTCAAAACCGTCTCTGAGAAGGGCATGCAGGGACACCCTATGGACAACCAGTCATGCTCCTTGTCAGCAACTTCAAAGAACATTGCCCTATCCCAAGGTCTCCTCGTTCCTCTTCATAAGTCATTAGGGGTCTGTCGACAGCTAAGTGCCCCAAGACTTTTTATTTCCAGCTTGACTCCCGCTTGGGATAATGAGTTCCATGATCCTACCACCCACCAAGTGAAGGAACATTTTCTTTAATTATTCCTAAAACATAACTCTCTCAAGCTTTAAGCAGAGCACCCCCTCCCTGGTTCTCTTTAAGGATTTCGTGAATGAGTTCAAGACCACCCTAACCATAACATCCATGATTAAACAGATGTTCCTCCGTCTTAGCCTTTATCTTTCCAAATAGAAGAACCCTTAACACATGACTGCGTTTTTACGGCAACTTCACTATTTCCTTGATGATTTGGTTGCTTCTTTTTTGAGTTTCTTATGGTCTTTCTTCACGTGTAGTAAGCACACAGGACAGAAATCCCTCTCCAACCACAATCCCTCTCCATCTGACTAATTTTGTACATTTTTAGGAGAGATGAGGTCTTGCTATGTTGCCGAGGCTGGTCTCCCTTATGCCACAT